GGTTCCACCCTCGACCCCGCTCTCCATTCCTCGTCGGCATAGATCTCTCTCCTTTCTTTTTCTTGCTTTCCTCTCTTTTTCTTTTGATGAAATCTTCGGGGTGGACTTCTCGAGTGGAACGCCGCGCGGAGTAACTCGGTCGTGGGCCGTATCGAGCTGCGTCTCCTCGCTGTGCCGTAAGAAAGTTGAAAGGATAAAGGATAAAGGGGGGAGGAGGGAGCGGAGAGGAGAGACGGCGGAGTCGTCCGGAATCGGAAAGTATAGATTGATTGCCGAGAGGAAGAAAGGGAAGCAAAAAGAAGGCGAGGTCGACGGATTCTTCAATTCAAAATGACCATCGTTATTCTTTATCTCGAATGCTTGCGAATTCGATATTTTGTTTTACGCGTTTAAAGAAACGCAGGATGATCTGTTTGAGATAAAGCTGCAGCTGAAGTTTGACTTTATACAAGTCGATATATATAGTACTAAAAGGTGCATTTTTCATCTTGTCACACAGATTTTATATCTGCTCGAATATTCTTTTACGAGATGCTAATGCGCAAACTGACATAGAGAATTAATTGATGTCAATCTCTAATATCTGTTTATTATAAATATTTTATTAAATATTTGAAGAGTTTCAAAATAAAATTGAGAATATTGCATATCCATTATATTATACAATAATGTAAACCGGATCTTACTATCGTGCTGCAACTGTCGGCTTTCATATGCGATTCGTCTACGTTCGCTGCGACTTCTCTAACTGGCGGTACCGGCGATCTACGGACGGAGGCACGCGAGTCACGTAAAGCACGCGGCGCGACCACGCGTCTCACATGTCATTGAATGAATCAGCTGTTCGGCGCGTAACGCGACTCACGCGACTCGCACGCCTCATGTGACTAAGCAAATCATGTGCTACCACGAGTATAGTATTGCCGCGAGTGTAGTTGACCTATTCTACTTTATTTTCCACAAACTTAGATTTAAAGTTAAAATTATTAATTTCTTTTCAAGTGCGCTTATAAATCTACGATTTAAATTGTGAATAAATTATTACGTAAAGCAGAATAAAAATTATTAAAGATAGGTAACAATATTCTCTTACGAGATCTGCTAGAGCAAACTGACATAGAAAATTAATAGATATAAATCTTAAAACTCGATTCTTATCGATTCTTAATTTTTATGGTCTCGGAATTCAAAGCTCAATAACTAGACGAAAAATAAAATCCGAAAATAGTGCCACACGCTAAGTGATATTACACGACTAAAAATATATACATTGTCTATTTATATATTTATATTAATAATGCCACATAAATCTTTTTGCGATGACAAAACTCGAGAAAACTTGCAGTTCAGGAGCTACAATCATCTTGTTATTAATAACAAGACGCATCATGTACCACGATCACGCGTGCAGATAATATTTCAAAAATATATAAAATTCGCGTGGGCGCGGATACCCTTTAACATCCTTCTTACAACGCCCCGAACGTTACACGGTCGGTGTCAGCCCCCGTGACACCCTCTCTCGATCGAGTGCAGATCGATTTGACACAAAAAGCTCGATTCACCGCGAAATCCCCCACGCCTACTTGAAAGCCACTCCGCAATCATTTTTGTGACCTGTTATCGTTCCCGCGACGCGTGTCGGTGAGACTAATCTAGCGCGTTCGTCATAAGCCTCGCGGATACACATGTGTTGTACATCCGATGAACTGATGGCTTCTCTACCAGAGGCTTTTTCTTTTCTCTGTCGTCTACGAACGAATTCAATTATCGCGATGGTGCGCGCGTCCGTCGGCGTCGTTAGAAGTTCATTATACTTTATGCGTCACCTGCCTCCCTCTTTATCTCTTTTTACGAGAGCATACGGAATGGAAGAGACGCGGTATATAAGAAAAAGAAAATAAATTTTCGGTAAAAGCAAAGTGCTACGGGCTCCGGCATAAACACCCCGTCGAGCGTGTAACACCTGAGGCCAGGACTTATGCGCTTGTCTGCATCAGAGAGAAAAAGATAGATAGATAGATAGATAAAAAAAAGAGAGAGAGAGAAGACATCCCCTAGTTTTAATATCGGATTTGGGTACGCGCTCACATTTCTTTTGTTCTAAAATGTAATTCCCCACGCCTACTTGAAAGCCACTCCGCAATCATTTTTGTGACCTGTTATCGTTCCCGCGACGCGTGTCGGTGAGACTAATCTAGCGCGTTCGTCATAAGCCTCGCGGATACACATGTGTTGTACATCCGATGAACTGATGGCTTCTCTACCAGAGGCTTTTTCTTTTCTCTGTCGTCTACGAACGAATTCAATTATCGCGATGGTGCGCGCGTCCGTCGGCGTCGTTAGAAGTTCATTATACTTTATGCGTCACCTGCCTCCCTCTTTATCTCTTTTTACGAGAGCATACGGAATGGAAGAGACGCGGTATATAAGAAAAAGAAAATAAATTTTCGGTAAAAGCAAAGTGCTACGGGCTCCGGCATAAACACCCCGTCGAGCGTGTAACACCTGAGGCCAGGACTTATGCGCTTGTCTGCATCAGAGAGAAAAAGATAGATAGATAGATAGATAAAAAAAAGAGAGAGAGAGAAGACATCCCCTAGTTTTAATATCGGATTTGGGTACGCGCTCACATTTTTTTTGTTCTAAAATGTAATTCAAATGCAGGTTGATATTAAAAATATTACTAGTATATGAAGTTTGATATTTATAAGATTTAAGGTGCCGCTTAATAAAAAAAATAATACAAGATATAAATAATGTATTATTCTAAAAAAATAATTTTTTATCTTTGAAAATAGAACGAGCCTTTAAACTCATTCGTGCCCTTTGTCTAAAACCTCGCTCCTCGAAGGGTACTTGACGAACAAATATATATCTTACTTATTATCAGTATTCAGTTACTATCTACCCATCGATATGGAAAGATACAGTAATCGCAAATACACGAACATACTCCTTGCATTAGGAGCAAAACAAAGCCCCATACGAAAAAAGTTTTTTCTGCAATTTCTATTTTTATTTCTTTATAAAGAATGAGCCTCTTGCCGGTTGTACCACGAATTACGGACTACCCTGTATGTATATATATATATGACGAAAAGGAAAAAAGCGTGGCGGGCGAAAAGGAAGAAAAAAGAAGCAAAGAGAAACGAGCTGATTTGAAGCGGGCACGATGTTTAATTCAACGAAACCAAAGACACGCCTCGGCAACTACGAGGCGAGCTTCGTCATCGACCTCGAGGAAAACCCCGATGGAGCTCTGCGAGCGTTATTCCTTTCGCCTTCCCTTAAATCCCTTCGGTAATTGCTTCTCTCTTACGACCTGCGGCTCGAGCTTGTGCGCTTTTAGGGTAGTTGTGTTGGCAAATGGCCGGTCACACCAATGGTGAACGGCTAGATAAAACGCTAATCAGAAATTTGTGCGCTTTTAAGAGCGGGTTGCCAAGAGCAGTGCCATCATATCCAGTATATTGTTCAAATTTCTCTCTTGCATCGTCCGTATCATGAATTATCTAGGATGATAAATCGCGAAGCTCGACTTAATTCTCAGACATATCGTAGCTCAATATCTGCCAAGAGCAACTACATTTTCTTCCTATACACTCGAATACATTCCCGTTTTATCCTTACTTCATTTACAGAGATGTTCGTTACAACGTTATTATTCTTGCGAACGAGCCAATATCCCAGACTCTGGTAAAAAGTAAATTGCATAAGCAACCTGGCAGCGATTCGAGAAACCGCGAATAATTCGCGAAACGCGCCATCGCTACGACAGGCCTGCCATTTTGTCTCGGATGCAGCAATTACCGAGATTGCATTGCGACGCTCGGCTTGCAGTGCGCATGTCCTTGAGGGTAAAAAAGGGTTAAAGGGCTTCCCCTCCCTTATACCGACGGGCAGGTCTCCGTTGGCCCTCAAACGCGCATCCGCTTCCCGCGTACGCGGGATTGTTGGAACGCGCGCGTAATTCACGCACGCACCCATGCACCCTCGCACGCAAGCTTGACGGGAAAAGCGCGTTACGCGGATTTTCGACCGCGGTGTTGGCACGCGTATTTTTCATCAAGCCCTCTCCTCACCTCTCCTCTCCCCTCGTTTTTGCCGGGCAGGCTCACCCCGCGCGACGCGCATCCACCCTCGGGCGCGCGCAACCCTTTTTTTTTTTCTATCGTCGTCGAGCGATAAAAAGCGATCCGGGTGGCGAGGGGATGGTCGCGTGCGCGACTGTTTTCCGCCGCGGCGAGACGTAACAAAACAGGCTCGTGAAACAAGCGCAAGAAAAAGTTCACGGAGAGCCGAGACAATGACGCCGGCGCAGCTGGTTAAATGCGGAAGGGTTGCCGATTAGCATAAAAGGGACCACACGATTACACGGACGCGAGCGGGGCGGAATCGGATCATGCCGGGTTGGGCTGGCTGGGCGAAACGATAGGCGTTTTTGCTCGCTGAAATTACGTCTCTACGCGGCAGCGAGCGGCTTGCGGCTCCTGCACAATGTGTCATACGAATGAAAATGAGACAGGCATTCTTGTAGCTTAGACGGGGCAGGGGCAGAGGCATTTGTTTTTCGCAGTAAACGCACGAAAGAAAAATATGTTCTACGTTTTATATAAATGATCGTTTGCTTTTATTACGAAGCAATTGCCTGATATGTTTGTTTGAGAACGAAATCGTTCGTAGAGCAGATATTAATTACTCAACTATAATTACTAATTCTTATATCTTATATCTTTCTTAGACTTTTATAATTTTTTATAAATTATTTATATAT